TCCCAGGTATTTGGAGACAAGGCCTGTRGGAAGATAATTAAGGCTAAGTGGAGTCCTAAGGTGGTCTCCTTTTCTGGAGAGGAAGAGACACCGGAGCACTCTCTGCATCTGCACAGAGGAAGAACCTGTGAGGACTCAAGGATGAGACAGTCATGTATCTATACATGAGCAAGAGAGGCTACACCAGAAACCAACCCTGACAACACCTTGATCTTGGACTTCTGGCCACCACAACTGTGAGAAATAAATTTCTGTTGTTTAAGCCATCCCAGCTTGTGGCATTTTGTTATGACAACCTTAGCAGACTAATATAATTAGTCATAAATCATTAGTCAAATGCAAATTAAAATACAGTGAGATACCGCCATACAATACAGAAATGGATGATATATGAAAAATTAAACTTGACAATATGAGGCACTAGCCAAGATGTAAAACAGTAAGAACTCTCCCTCAGGGTTGATGTGGTGGTGCACACCTATAATCCCAGCAACTCTAGAGGTTGAGGCAGGAGGATCACAAATGCAAGGCCAACCTCAACAACTTAGGGAGACCCTATCTCAACATACATGCATACATACATACATAAATCAACAAATAAATAAGAAAGGAAGGAAGAATGAACAAAACTAAAAGGTCTGGGAATGTATCACAATGGCAAAGCATGCCTGGGTTCAGGTCCCAGTACCAACAAACAAACAAACAAACATATAAGCAAGCAAAAAACATCTCTTGGAGGGAATGCAAAGTGGTACAGCTAYCATGGAAGCATTTGGTAGTTTCTTACAAAGTTATACAAACACTACTAAGACCTAACAGTCCTACTCCTTGGTATTTGCCTAAGTTAATTGAATATACAAACATTTATAGCAACTTTATACATTATTACCCCCAAACAAGACAACTACAGTGTACTTCAAGAGGTGAATGAATAACCAAGAGTTTGGAATATCCTTTTGATGAAGTGCTACTGAGAATTATAAAGCAGCAAACTATTGATTCACACAGGATTATGAATAGATTCTTAAATGCATTTTGTTAAGTTTAAAAAGTCACAAAAAAAGCAATATATTATGTGAATTGGTTCTCATGAACTTTTGGTAAAGGCAAAATTATAGGGATGGGGAAGAGTTCAGTGGCTAACAAGAGTTGGTAGAAGCAGGGAGGACTGATGATGAAGGAGGCACACAACACTGTCAGATGATAGAACTGGTAGGTATGACACTAGCCGTGGATGCCAGGTACTGTGTTCTTGTCAAATGCTTTAGTTTGCCACCAAAAAAAAAAAAAAAAAAGTTTAAATGTATGTAAATTCAAAACATCCAAGATGTAGGGGAAATCCCAGGATGGAATTTAGTGGTAACAAATAAGTGTAACTGTATTTCATATAATGTCATATAAGTGGATGAGGACAAAAAGACCTAGCCTAAGTCACTTTGGAAACCAGTGTTTTGAGTGGATACTATAGAATTAGTGACAAAGGATCTGTATAATAATACTGCATTCTAATGGGTAAATTTGTTTCTCGTATGGGTAAATCTCAGCAATTCTGAACATACTTGATATGCATCTATGGTGAAACAAACAAATGTTATATATCATGTCAGGAATGTTTCTCACTCTGAGAAAGAAATTCAAATAAGGAGGATAAAAGCTAGAATGAACTTAGTGAGGTATGTATGTGTGGTTTATACTAAACACACACATATATACAAACACATATCCATGTATGTGTATACATATATAGACACACATGCATATACACATGTACATTATACAAATATGCACACACTGATGCACACCTAGTTTCACATAGACTCACATATGCATATGTATGCATACAAATACACTCATACATGCATGCACACATATACACACATGTGCATAAACACATGTTGCACACATGCTGTTATGGTTTAGATGTGGTGTCCCCCCAAAGCTCACAGTTAATACAAGAAAGTTTAGAGGAGAAATGATTGTATATTAGCCTTAGCCAGATGGGATTAACTCTACTGGAAGAGTGTGGCTGGAGGAGATGGGAATTTGGGCGTGGCTATGGGGTATACATTTTGTATCTGAAGAGTGAAATCTCTCTCTCTGTTTGCTTTCTGATCAACATGTGATCTATTTCCCTTTGCCACACTCTTCCGATATGATGTTCTGCCTTACCTGGAGCCCCGAGGAATGGAGCTGGCCTTCTATGGACTAACACGTCAAATAAGCTCTTCCTGCCCTAAAATTGTTCTGGTCAGATCTTTTAGTCGAAACATCAAAAAAGCTGACTAAAAACACTGCATATGCACACATGTGCACATAGAAATGCATGCATACACACACAGTCATGCATGCAAATGTATATATGCACGCACATGTGTATTCAAATGTATGCACATACACACATACACATGTATGTACAAACATGTATACACACATGCATATGTATCCATATGTGTGTGTGCTTATATGTACCTGTATTCACACATAGATATTTGCACACATACATCATATTTACACACTTATACATATATGTGTTCATACATATGCATCTATGAATTAATATAGATGCATATTTTCATAGCTTTTTCCACTAAGAAGGCCTAGAAGGAATGATACTTCAGTAGCAAAGATCTTGGTTTTTAAAATCTATTTTCTAATGAAGTGAAAAATATCTCATTAGGGGGCTGTAGGAAGAAAAATTATTTCATATTAAAAGTTTTAAAAAGTGAGACATGTCTTTTATGTATTTTATCTCCCTTGAAGAGAAGCTTGAGATCCCAAATGAGTCTATAGTGAGGCCAAATAAGTAAGAATTTGAGTAATTTAGCCTTGTTGCTATGAACTTTCACACATTTCTTAAATCTTGCTAACAGGTATAGTCATTGCAGTTTCTGAAAAGGGAAACTTTAGTGGACGAACTGGGGCTTCTGAAGGGAAACTGTGAGGAAGCCCCTGGCCTCCTGCTTAAACCTTCGGCATTTAATGGACACACCTTCTCCCCATCAAGGATGGTGAGCCTGGAATGCTGGTCCCCAGGTTTGAGCCTCTTGACTACACCTTTGCTTTTTTTTTTAAAAAAAAAAAAAGAGAGAGTGAGAGAGGAGAGAGAAAGAGAGAGAATTTTTAATATTTATTTTCTAGTTCTCGGCGGACACAACATCTTTGTTGGTATGTGGTGCTSAGGATCGAACCCGGGCCGCACACATGCCAGGCAAGCGCGCTACCGCTTGAGCCACATCCCCAGCCCACACACCTTTGCTTTTTATTTCCCCAGCATGATGCCCTTCAATGAAGGTGGCCATAACTGATCTGATTTCATTAACAGGGTTGATCTGCATCACACCTATATCCTAAGGTCATGGTAAAGTGAGCAAAGAGGAGACAGAGCAGGAAAGGGCAGGATGTAGTGGACTCTGATCACAGGGGAATCTCCTTCTTGGGAATTGAAACTTAAAGACAGACTCTCACTGTCCTTGTCTTTACAACAAACCCAACCTAAAATAATCCAAGTCTGTCTCCTAGGAATTTGAAACTTCAAAGTGAAGGATATAGAGATATGAAATTAGGAGAAAGAGTGGGAAATTTGGCCTCCAAGGGACCCAGGGTTGTCTTTCATCTGTGCCTTCTGAAGCTTGGATGCCACCTACATTGGTTTCCTGTGGCTGTTGTAGAAGTTTCCCATGAACTGGATGGCTTGAAACACAGTAATTTATGCTCACAGTTGGAGGCCAGAAATCCCAAAATCAAGGGGTCAGCAGGGCTCTGCTCCCTATAGAGGTGCTGAGGGTCAACCCACCTCTGACCCCTTGACTTTGGAAGTCACTTCCAATTCTGTCTCCATCTACATCATCTCTTCCTCCTCTGTCTGTCCACTCTGTTTGTCTCTTATAAAGACAACTGTCATTGGATTCACGGCCCACTTGGATAAAAGAGATGATCTCTTCATCTCAAAAATGCATATATTAATTCATCTACAAAATCTTTTTTTTTTTGATAAAGTAACATTCCCAGGTTCTTGTGATGACATAAATTTAGGGGACCATTATTCAACCCAAACAACAAACCATCCTTCCAATTAATTTCTTCTTTTTCTCAAATTAAGTAGTGCCAGTTTCTATTATTTTCAACTGGAAGAACTTACTAGTTTGGCCCCTCAAAGTTTGTAGCAGCAATTATAAGTAGCTTGTACCACCTGTTTACTAAGCCTGACTTCTGAAATTATCCAATTGTAGTGTTAAAAAAAAATTTTACTTTGGAGCTTCTTAAAAACACAGGCTTCTGCCCTCATCCCCTGAAATTTTCAGCAGATTGACCTGGGAATCTCCATTTTTTAACAATTCCCAAATATTCCTGTGATGAAACAGAAATAGAGAAATCAAGAGTTCAAGCCCCATTATAAGGTCCCATTCAAATACAAACAAGAGGAAAAGCAGTAAAAAATACTTGGAAAACTTTAATGATGTTTATATAGTAAAACCATAAAATCTCTTAAATAAGGTACATTCAATTTCTCAGAGCTTCTAATATTCAGATCATTTATAATTCACACACTTCCCAACATTAAACAATTGACTAAGTAATACATTTTTGATAAAATGATATTACAGCTTATACAGATAAAATTATATCACAAAAACACTCCACACAGGAAAAAATGGCAACACCTATTAGAAAACCCTACAAACTTTCCATTAAAAATATATATTTTATCTCTTTCATATTTCATAATAATAAACAGAATATAGTTTTTATTTCTAAATTAAGTCTTATACCATTTTTTTCTAGGACGATAATATGTACAAATCTTGTATCTGAATGAATATAAATAGCAATACTGGAATAGTGTTACAGATATATTAGTAACTTTTGCAAATGAAACAAAATAAAACAACAACAATGTGGCTTTCTAATAAAAGCCCATAGCACAGCTGAAATCTCAAAGCTACTTAAGTTAGACATTCCCATATTTAGAAAGGCACAGTGGAGTCTAGTTTTTATTATTATTTCCAGTTAAATTACTGTAAGCAGTAACATGGGAACATACAGTCAGTGGACACTGGGCCAATCCTGACAGTTGGATCAATTATTTGGGGTTTATTGGGGAAGTTTTCAGGAGACATTAGTTCTTTCTTTACATCATAGTTGCTTTTAGTGCCCTGTGGCAAAATTAGCCATTAGTGATGAGAAAGAAATCACTGTACCCCTTCAATGCCTGAGAAACAGTCTACTTATCCATCAGATCTGGCCCATTGTGAGTCCGGTTATAAGCAGCTTATTTTTCCTGATTGGACTTGGTTGCCTATCATTTCTAAAAATAGCTTCTGGTACAATCTGTACATCGTGAAGCTGTGAAGGAACCGGATGGACTTCTTCAGGCTGTGTGTGACAGTTTTGGGGAAGTGGTATGTTTTCAAGAGCTTGAGCGCATGCATCAGGCCTTTCAAGGTGTCCTGGTCGCCATTTTTTATTCGCCATAAGCTGAGCAGCTTCAGGAGTTGCTCACTTGATTTGCATGTCTTTCTTGTTCTTTCGATGTCTTCTATTCCAACTTTCTTCCCCGGTAAGCTTTCCATCAAGCTTCGAAGCTGCTCAAAGGTGAGGTTTGCGTGCCCAATATGCCGCTGCACACCATTTTCACAGAGGTCAATATCTGCATAAAGCAAAAGCCCAAAGAGATCTTCACATCATTTATATTCATATAATGCCATAAAAAAAAAAAACAGACTGAGGCAAAAGGTTCTCGCAGAATTTCATAATTTTTAAACTTTCCTACCCCCCCTTTTTTTTCAGGTGACTTAAGTGACACTAGTTATTTCTGAGAACTAAGATAAATATTATTTCATGCTATAATAAGATGCTATATATTTTAGGCACCCAATACAACTTTGTGAGAGCCCTTACTTTTGAAAATTAATAGAGAATTAAAGACACATCGCTCTCAGTTTTCTATGATCAGTTTGAGATCATAACAGTTCAGAAAATAAAGAAAGTCAGGTTAGCTGTGTTGTAACATAAATTTCTCTAGTCGCTCACTGACATGGGCACTCTTTGAAGAGTGTGAGTCCAAAGAACTGGAGGATACACACATCCAGAGGATATTTCAGCAGGGAGTTAGGCATAAACATGAGGCAGTAACTAATATTCCTATTAATGACATTTGTCATTTATTATCTGTGAGCCCGAAGGCAAGAAAACTCAGTTCATCTTTTGGGAGTTGAAATATACTCATTTATAAAATAGGGAATTTGGTCCCTTCCAATTCTAACAGTTTCTAATTCTCTATTTCCTGTTCTTTCAGCTTCAGGGCTAATTATATGTTCAAGGAACACTTTTGTTTTGCCAAAAACAGAAGAAAAGTTAGCTCTTTGCATAAGCAAAAGCATTCAACTCTCAAATGTGTTAGTCTCTTAAAATCCACTGCTCTGGTTCCAGATGTTCGAGGTTTTCAGGATGGTGTAAGAAAGCTCAGTCATTTGACTATGAGTGAAGAGAGAATGAATTTCTTATTGGCATTGTCTGCTTTAGGAAAACCACCCTCATTTTTCTGACATGTCCTCCCAAGGGTAGTTGAAGATGAAACTCTTTCCATTGTATATCCTAAGGCTTACAGTCCACACAAGGTTATAGTCCACAGAGATTTCCTCTCTTTGCATTTTCTATCACATTCTTTGTGTTTTCCATCACATAACAGGTTCTTTCTCTCTCTCTCTCTCCTCCTTTATCTCAATTTCTCTCTCTCTCTCTCTCTCTCTCTCTCTCTCTCTCTCTCTCTCTCTCTAACACAGCATTCATTTCTAAAGGAGATTCTTTGGAAACCTCTAAAATAACATTAGAGTATGTCGTCTTAACCATTTTTTTTCCCCAAGATGCTCAAGCACTTTTTACACTATCTTATGAATCCTCTTTATACATGCCATTTAAATGGCGATTTTAATACAGGCCACGCGGTGAGAATGAATGGGAGGGTCCACAGAAGACAGTAGCATCTCTCTGGAGAGAACTGCCAAATACACAGAGCATAGCTTCTTGGTGGAAATGTGAGACAAGATCCAAAGTGGCTAAAGACCTTCTCCTAGGCATGCAGGGAAGCTAATAGCTAAAGGATCTGCAAGCAGATTCCCTAAGGTCTAGTCCTTTTGGAGTATCCAATGCACTTTAAAGAGAAATTGAGAGCAGGGGCAAGAATAAAACCTTACACAACTGCTGTAGGAATAGTATCTACATTGTCACTTGAAAACCTGTTCAGTCCAACTGTGATTCTTTAAAGGAAACATCATGCACAACTATGCAGGCATGTGATCTTGCTCCTGTTTTATGATAACTCAGTATCTTTGATTTCTGTCTTAGCTCCCATCTCAGGTGTACACACCTTGGATGATCTTCTTGACCATATCTTGGTCTTTGTTTTGATGCTTCCATAACTTCAGCAGCTGGAAAGTTTGTTCTTGTGAGCTGTGCCGCCGCTTTATCCTCTCAACACTTTCTGCATTTACTTTGGTTCCTGGCAAATTGTCTACCAGGATGCTGAGCCAATTAGGGGTAAATTTCGTAGGAACAGCAAACCTGAAGAATGCCTCTTCACACAGGGTGACATCTAAAGAAGGTAAGGAAACCAAAAAGATTTACTCAAAGATTGGGTTTCTGGAAGTATTTTGAATAAAAACAAACAAACAAAAAGCAGCAAATGGTGTTTTCCAAGATACAATATGCTAGAATGCAAAGTTTGATGCTCTTAGAGATAGAGTCTTACTGAACTTACGTGCTTTCTAATTTTTTTTTATGGGCATTTGGGGTGTGGGGAGGTTTAATAAATGTTAAATAAGAATGTAAATAGCTACAAATAAATTGCATATTTTGATAAAATTCTATAATTTGATATAAATATTAACATTCAAAGATTTATTTCCTTCAAGATCAGTGTCAAAACCAATATGATCACTGACTGTAAGGAGCATGAATATATACATATATAAACATGCAGTTTACCTGTGGAAACAAGGCCGGAGATAGATTTCTAAGTATGCATTAAGGGATATGGGTGTGGCTCAGTGGTAAAGCACTTGCCTAGTATGTTCAGGACCCTGAGCTCAATCCCCAGTCTGACACATATAAAATAGCATCCATTAACTGAAAAAAAAATAATCAAACCTAAAAAAAAAGTCATTCAGTAAAGGGTTGTGATGGCCTAAGTATTTGGTTAGGGTCAATATATTACAGGGATTGGGAACTTGTTTTGAGATTCATCAGACCTACATCTGAACCTGACTCTGATATTCACACCTATCATTCACTAAGTTTCTGTAAATCTTAAAGCCTATATAGCTAAGTACTTAGCAAATAGTAAGTGCTCCATTAATGACAAAAATAAAATTAAAATGAACTAAATAAATTAAAGAGATTGCTTAAGTTAGGAGTCACTCTTTTCATTATCTCTTGCCTTATTTCAATTATTAGATGAAAAAGCAGAGAGGTTAGAGAACTTGTCTAAGAAATCAACAACATAGTGAAGAAATGTGGAAACTTGGTTGGAATGGTAAATACATCAACCCACATTCCTATGCTTCAAATACTTCTATGCATTTCAAAAAGACATTTGGGGAGAGTCAAGCTGGTTCATGCTATTGTTTGATTAATGCACAAAGACAGATCACCCTTGGTTTGACATATCCTCCAGGGAAGGTCTGATTATAGTCTAGGGGTTGGGTGACAGGGTGAGAGCATACTCCAGTCCGATTAATGTCATCAACAACATGAGGCAGGCTCAAAGAGTTTAGAACCACCAGAGGAATTTGGAACTTCATGCACTAAACTGTCTAAATCCATTGGTGACAAAGCCAAGTATACSTTCTAATTTGTCGTCAGCTTATGTCATCTTGCTTCTTGGTTGCCAATTATAATTTAGCTAATAAAACAGTCATTCTAGAACCTGATAAAATGTCCATAAATTCTACAATTTGAACTCTGCTAATTTGACCTCAAGTAACAAACTTGACACCGCCCATGAATAACACTGAATTTGAATGTGAAAAGAAGTGGAGAAAGTCAGGGTTTGGGGTGTTATCTGTGAGAAGATGAGGACTTTTTCAGAGATTTTGAGTTGTGGCTTTAGCAGATGTCAAGCTGGTTAAGAATCAAGACAGGGAAAATGTGACTAAGAACTTGGCCAGAGTCTGTTGTGTTCCATTCAGAGAGAGATGACAGCGAAAATGAGACAAAGGCAGAGTTTGGAATGTGATTACCTATTCCACATTTTTGGGTCGATTCGTTGTTTGCAGAACATACATTGTCATGCGTCGCRTTTCCTTTCTGAGTTAGCAAGAGACCAAATATGCTGCAGTTTGTGTGTTTTCTACAGGGAGCTTTAGAGGACGTCTCATTGGAGAAGAACCCATCTGGACATCTTTTGCAAACCGTATTTCGCTCCGGGGTTCCTAGAAAAAAACACCAAGCGATTTAGCACCTTCTTCTCAAATACTTTCACAGCAGATACTCTCTTAAAACAGTTCTGGAAAGACTTCTCACTTGGTTTTTACTGCTACTATTATGTATTATGTTGCATAAAACTTTAGGCATTTTCATTTTTCACTTCATTAGACAGAGAGAACAAAACTTCCACAGTCAGCCCCTTAGGCAGGCTCCCCTTCTCCTAATACAAATGCAAGTTTGTTTTGCTGTTACCTACAAAATGATCCTGAAATGTGAGAGGAAAGGAGAAGAGGGGAGGGTGTTCATTAGTCCTGCCTCTGCTGGATGGCAGGAAGGCGGGTTGTCAACTGCATTCTTCACACAATTATTCCTGGAATATCATCAAGGTAACTGCCATGTGTTTGCTGTAACACCATCCTTCGAAATCAGCACCCACTGAAGGTTGCCTCATTAAATTCCAATCAGTTCCTACTGAAGTTCTTTCTTTCCTGAATCCTAATTGCAAAGCAACTCGTAAGCGTACTAACCTTGAGAAGTAAAAATTTACAACGTTACAATAAACTTCTGAAAGTGGCAGTAAAGTTGGCCGCTGACTCAAAAACGTAAGCCTGCAGCGCATCACAAGAGTAAATGGAAAGTGATATACCATTTGCTTGAACTGTTGAGCGAAGGAGCACATCATTAAGACTTCAGGAAAGGTAACTGCAAGGACATCTGACTTTATTGTGGTGAGGTATTTGATAAATTTGGAGACATGGCTAATCAGAGTATATGAACCAGTCAGCAACCAAAGTAGCTGTGAAAGCTAAGTAACTTCAAACACTTGACTCTATTATGCATGGGTAGATCTGACATTATAGTGTATTTGCATATGAAAATATCTCCATCTAGTGTAAGCTAGTTGAACAATTTAGACGTGGGTATTCAAATGTAGATTTTACAGGCCAATTCTGGCTTATGGGAGATAATAAATGCAAAAGAGACAAATGAAAGCTACAGAAAGTTATTAAACTTCATTTATTAAAAATTTCAACCTCTTACTTCATTATATTTTTTTTACCAAATGAAAGGAAAAAAAAAAAAAGAGGAGCCAAATGGATTGGTTCTAGTTTTATCTCTTGTACCTTTCTAAAAGATTGATGATTCATTGACCTATAAAAATGACCAAGGACTGGCAGAAACGAGAGAGAGAGAGAGAGAGAGAGAGAGAGAGAGAGAGAGAGAGAGAGAGAGAGGGGGGAAACCACAACAGGCTGAAACCTTCACATATTAAATGCTATTTTCAGCATTGTAGTGACATTATCATTATCTTAAGAACCAGCTATCAAAGCAAGGAGGTTTTTATTTTTATTTTTTTAATGTACTTTCTTACCATATGCTTTTTCTTAAATGGAATCCAATTCTACCCCAAATTCTACAATATCATAAGCAGAGATATTTGAGCAAGAATTTSAGGACATTCATTCATTGCTAATTCACTAGGAATAAATGAATTGGGTATATGGACCCAAGTATCCTTTTGCCAACTCCCACAGGTTCTACACAAAGAAGAATCTTGCTATTCTTTGGATACATATTTAGGTCTTTTTGTGCATCTTAATGAGAAGATCATGTGTATGAGATAGTATTTTAGGTAAGTTAGTCTTTAAGTTCTTTAACCAAAGGACTGAAGAATGGTAGAACTAATGCTATATGTGTAGAGGGATCTCTAATGATCTTTCTAGACAGGACTTCCCTCTTTATAACTGGTAGAACTTTTTATATATAAAAAGATTTACTCATCTAGTAATGATTCTGCCTTATTAATATATTGGAAATATGAGAATTACAACCTGTAAGGCAAAATATGAAATATTATATGATGAAAAGAGTATGGTTTTACAGTTAATAATTCACCATGCTAACCATAGGTAATCTCATAGGAAATCAGAAGGCCAACTAGAAGATAGAAAGGTATAAATAAAATGGGAGAAAAGAAAATCTGACTTAAAAGCAGCAGCAACAACAAATGGATGGTTATTAAATACTTTAAAAAGTAACAGCACATAATGCTTCTTTGTCCTTGGGCTGGAAACCTTTTATTTTTCATGTGGATTTTTAGGCGGAAGAGATAAGTAAACCCCACTGTGGTGCCACAGAATAAAACATGTACCTTTGTCCTAAGTCTCCTGATTGCCTATGTACTTCATTCTACATTCAGACTTTCATGCATATGAAGCCTCTTTTGCCATTTCCATTATTTTTCAGAATTTTCCAGTTTCTAAGCTGCATAGACCATGCTTAATTATTTTGCATAAACTACTTACTGCACTGAATGAAATGTATTTGGTTTAGTGGGGTGGGCTTCCCTCACTCCACAATTTGGTTTAGCATTTGAGTCCCAAATATCACTCAGTAAAAAGTAGAAAATGTTACTAGTTCCTCACTCAGATACTCATACTGGAGGCATTTTAGGGTTCTTGATGCAATTTGATTATTTTTTTAAGTTTCTCTGATTAATTTTTTTTTTAAGTTTCACTACTTAGACTGACTAGATTTCAATTTTGGGATATTCCTTTTGAATGCATTTAGACCTAAAGTATTTGTCATCTAACAATTGACTTTATGTATTATTACTCTGTGTGTGGGTGTAGGTGTGTGTGTGTGGGTGTGTATATGCATGCGCGCGCGTGCAATCGTGTGCAGGGATTGAACCAAGGGGTGCGTTATTACTGACTTACATTCCTCAGTTCTTTTTTATTTTTTATTTTGAGACAAAGTTTCACTAAGTTTCTGAGGCTCTTGCTAAATTGCTGAGGCTGATCTTGAACTCATGATTCTCCTGCCTCCCARGTTGCTTGGATTTCAYTTTTAAAAATTAAAATGGTTACATATAATTAGCATCCACTAKTCCAGTGGTTCTTGACCAGGGGTGTTTTGCTAGCCAGAGGACTTGTGACAATGTCTAGAGACATTTTTGGTTGCCTCCATGGTGGCAAGACTGCTATTGACACCCTGTGGTAGAGGCCAGGGTTGCTACTGAATACCCTACAGTACACAGGACCGCTGCCCACAAGGAAGAATCCCCCAGCCCCAATGTCAATGGTGCTGAAGTTGAGAAACACTATTTCAGTAATCTATGCAGATTACTCCTTCTTCCAGCTGAGTAAGTGAATACTCTTGATTTTTCCAAACTATGAGGAAGTTCTCATCTACATGGAAGGTTTGCGCATGAATAGAAAAAAGAATTTGAGGCTGCAGATTTAACAGAGTTTGCTCACACTGGCCCTAACCTATGCTGCTGGAAATGCAGAAAGGGAAAGCATTTTGCTCATGGTTAAGGCTTCCACTGGGCTTGACATCTGTTTTGTCTAACAAAGAATAAGCTGTTTAAGGAGGCTGCTAGAGTGTTTACCCTTCCAGATACTCCACTAGGGTGCTAGAGAAAGAACTAGCTTCATTTTTAATAATGAAATGCATTTCCCCTAACCATTTCATTTTTTACATAATTAATTATAACTGCTCATTGTTAGCACTCCAGAGCCTCATTAATATCAGATAATTACTCTCTTGGTATCAATTAACATTTCTGATATTTGTCAAAAAGCACTTCAATCTTAAGATGTCCATGCTGAAGTGAAGGTATATAGCCACTATCATTGGTGCGACTTAGAGCATGTTCCTTTAAAAAAAAAAGGGCAATCCATCATGCATCTCATTAGGGAGCAATTTGCTGCATTTGAGATCCCTCACTAAATTACCCTGCAGAGGCAAAGTATTCCTCAGAGAAAGGGCCTTGGAAGCAATCCAGATACATAGTATATACCCAGCATGTTCCATTACCTTTGCAATTTGCCATCCTGTAGCTATCATCAGGACTAAGGTGTCCCTCAAATATTTCACTACTATCTAGCTTGGCACAATCCTGTTTTTCTGCATGTTGGAAGCAGATACGTACCAGCTTGCACCACTCCAAATCCAGGGGGACAGCTCCTGTGCTTCAAGCAGAACTCTACCTCGAGGTAGCGCCCTTCCTCACACTCGCACACACGGTTGTGGGTGCGATTGCACTCCTGTTTGACATACTGCAGCTCCTTGCACACTGAGCTGCAGTACAGACACTCGTCACTGGTGTGCCAGCTGTCTGTGTAGTAGTGGTCAGGGCAAGGGGTGCACACGGTCTTTCGCCTCGCAGTACAGTGTTGCTTTAGGTAGGTGCCAGGAGGACATTTGTCACACATGAGCTGGCGAGAGGTTTCTGGATCATAATGAAGGTACTTTGGAGGAAAAGTTTCCTGGGTGGTCCATTTAATAGAGATGTCCAGGAACTAGAAGGAGAAAGAGACATAGTGGCAATTTAGCATGGAAATAAGGTTGTTCTATGCAAAGGCAGCATTAGACTCAAAAAGTCCCTTAGTACTTAAGCTTAAGGCCCTTCTTGTCTCTTGAGATGGCCACAAAGTAAGTTTAGAAGCCATAATTTTTGCTTTCAGTGGCTGAAACTCAAAGACCATGAATGTGGATAGCAATAAATATAGTAAGTAAATCCAGGCTCATAGATGTCTGAAACAGAAAGTTTATCAGAATACAACTTACACTTTGATAACTTGCTATATAACCATGTGACTTGAAAAAACCTGGGATTCAGGATTTTCTCTAGATTAGTGAGTGGATGAACTGGTGGCTCCCAGAATAGCTGAAATCAAATCACCTAGACTCCTTAGTAAAAATGTAGGCTCCTGGGATTCATAGCCTTAAGCCCTTAGCCTTCATCAGTGTGGAGCTGGGCCAGGGGAGCAAAAAAAGAAAGAAAAGAAAAGAAAAACTCCCCACAACTCCTAGAGTGATTCTAATGCACAGAGAACATACTAATAATTATTCTTTCATTTATTGATTGGACAATTAGTTATTGAGTCCTCAATATGTTCCAAACTCTGTTTCTGACTACCTAGAATACAATCCTGACTAAAATAGGCAAGAAGTTCTACCCTTGAGACATTTACTATCCAATTGGAGTATTAAGAAAATACACTGTAGATAAATAATTTATTAATAGAAGTAGTATAACAAAAAGAAAAAATCAGGTAAACTGGGAGGATAAGGTGAGAAGATCTTAATTTCTAAGTGGGGTGGTCACAATAGTCATATTTAAGACTAGATGATATCTCTTTGTTTTCCTATTATAAGACTTTATGATGAGCAATAAAGTCAAGAGTCAGTGTTGTGTGAAGATACACGATCACACCCACAGTCCTCATTCATTCAATGATGATCCATTAGGAGTCAAGCACCAGGAATATGCTGGTGAGTCCGACATGACTACTGTCTCCATAAGCTCATCATCCACTRGAATTTTGAGGTTGACATTTTCTCCAAAGGTCATTTGGGTCAACACTTGTGACTCTCATGGGTGAGTGATATCTACAAAATAAAATCACTCCCTCTCCTTATTTGGGGAAACTTCCAAGGAGCTGGCAAGGTTTCAGAAGTTGCCACACATAATGGAAGGAAGGAGTCTTCATCAAGAAAAAGCGTTTCACCAGCTTCCCGTGGACATCTATCTTTGTTATTCTACATCTTCAATGCTTCAAGGGAGCATTGGAGAAATTCTTCACACTAATTTCAGGAAACACACTGAGAAGAAACAGTATTGTTTGTGGGGGGGGAGTGGCTTGTTTGGTTTCTCTTGTTTGTTTTTAGTGCAGGAATCAACACTGACTATTTTCAGACTCTTGGGAGGTGGCAAACCAAACACAATAATTTTTTCCAAACTCACTTCTTTGCAGAGCTCAGGAAATGTCACAGAAACCCCCCTGAACTGGAAAAAGCATGCCAAGCTAAAGAAACAGCAATCAGTTTTGAATTAGAGGTAGTACAGGTAAAGAGTGTCCTTTTTCATAAACATTTAGGTATTTTAATGTAAGTAATTTCATTCATTTCATACTGGAACATGGCAGGTGTCTGGGCTGCTTGGACCTAGTATGAGCTGACAAACCAGAAGAAAAGAACAAAACATCTCACTCAGGGCCACAGATCTTCTAGCGAGGAGCAATTTTCAAAGAGTGATTTGATGTAAGGGAGTCCCAGCTAACAACAACAACAACAAGGAAGCAGAATGTAGTGAGAACTTGGGGCTGCTTCAGCAGTCTTTGCAAGACAGCCTCTTGATCTGGGAGTTTCTGGGGACAGCTTGTTCTTGAATTTCCCTGGGGGCTTTTTATTATCTTGAAGGAAAAAAAAAAGCAAGATTAAATGACAGACTTTCTGKTTGGTCATTTGAATATGTTACAAGGCATCTTTTAAGGCCCTGTGCGTGGATTTAGTTCAAATAGTTCTAAAATACTCAATGCAATCAAATGAGGTTTTCCTTACACAACTTGTAAATACATATGAAAGCAGTAAGAAAAAAAAAATCCTCTTGCTGTTTACTTTAAATTTCCTGGAAAGCCACTTTTGGAGTTCTGTCTGCTTTCATGAGGCGTGACTCAGAGACCCGGAGAGACCCTTTATCTCAAGGGCTACAGTTAAGTGAGCCACATCCTGGTGTATTGCAACCCCAAGATTTTCCCCAGCCTGACTTCTCATTGTTGCGCTGTTCCCATTACAACATGGCCTGTGTTTCCATCTGATCATCAGTATTGACTCTCCCTTACTTAAAAGTGATGGGGATGGGATGAGAAATCCCAAACAATGATGCATATGTTCCCAATCTGGAAGTCTAAAATCTGAAATGCTCCAAAATTCCAATCTTTCTAAACATCATATTGGTGCTCAAAAAAACTTCAGATTTGAAATTTTAAATTAGGTGGTCTCATTGGGTAAAGTCTATGCAAATATTCCCAAATTAAAAAAAAAAAACTAAAAACTAAAATCTAAAACTTGTTTCTAGCTTCTCAGATTAGGGTAACTCAACCTTTGTGACTAAGAATGCTAATAAAATGTATATTTTTCTAAGTAATTGGACATGACATTGTTGGTTTCCTGAAACCATGCTTTGGAAATTAGTAGCCATTTTTTTCGAATACAGGGAAGTTGGGATGAGAGAAATGCTCAAAGAATAAATAAAGAAGCTTGACTTAAGGATTAGAGAGTAAGCAGCAAAGGCATTTCTCCAAGGCAACCATATGGACACATCATCTACATTTTTAAAAATCAGAAAGTCTTGAGGAATTACAGGCTTGTTTTCAGGGAGTTCAATAGGATCTCTGTGTTTTATTTGAAAAATTTCCACTTTGGTAAAAAGACAGAACTCTGTGTGGCCAGAATTGGATGTTTAGGTCTCAATCTTCGGTTAGCCCCAATTCCCACACAGAATTTCTGGAACTGGTTACTGGACRGAGAGGATGGGCAAGATTAATAGAGCTCTTTGTCTCAGTCCTTTCTGTCACTTTCTTCTGAGTTTCCTGAAAACTCAAGGAAAATGAAGATATAGAACAGACCACCATATCACTGGCTAGAGCTCCTTTCRCCAGCTGATATTTAAAACCTAATAAGAGTTCTAAAATGAATTTTTATGCAATGCAGTCTCCAAATAACCACTGATGAACAACCWCAACAGCATGTACAAGGGTGTCTACGAAAGTATAAAGTGCTCTCTGTAGAAGAACCCCTTCTTTCTTGTGTTTTGTCCTTGATTTATAAAGAATAAGGTAGACATTTTCTGTTTTTTTTTTTTTTAATCCTCCTCTCTAACCCTATCTATTCATTCTTTAGTGGAAATCATTCATTCTTGAAGAAAATCTGAAAGTCCTCTAATCTTCTACTCTCTCTCTCTCTCCCTCTCTCTCTCTCTCTCTCTCTCTCTCTCTCTCTCTCTCTCTATATATATATATATATATATATATATATATATATATATATATAATGTGTGTGTGTGTGTATCTATCAATGGACCTTTATTTTATGTATCTATCTATCCATATATTTATTTATGTGGTGCTGAGACTAGTCCCAGGACTTCTTCCCCAAGCTTCCACATCTCTTCTTAAAGACAGTTTTGGCCGCCTCTCTGATAGCCTCATGCTCCCCCGCCATCTTCCATTTTTAATGTTGGGAACTGAAGGACTTTCTATTTCAAGCCTATCTGTCTTCCCTCATCCATCAAATGTTAGCAGATGACTGTACAGAGTGAAGATTGTGGCTGGGCTGAATCAGTTGTTCCCTAAAATCTTTGCTCGTTCTATCATGTTCTTTTCTTTGGTTTGGCAATTTAATTAGCCAATGAACTTGGGAGCAAATGCCTTAGTCTCATTCCCTTCATTCTTCTTCCTCCACTCTATTTACAAAACTCCTCTGTACAGCTGAAGTAGTTTTGCCACTATTCACTTTTCAGATTCACTCCTGCCTTCCCTGTCCTCTGTAAAACCACCTSATGTCCCAGCAGGCTGGTTGGTATGCCTGCTCTCTAGTATGCATCTTGTGCTTGATCTTCCTGGAGGARTCTCATGCTTAATAAAAGCCACTTGTACATTTTTGGCTGATCTAGTGGGTGCTAGTTATAACTGTAATAAAGTAATTCAATTAAATATGTAAAGTATCAAACATTGATGAAAAAATAATTATATTTCTATGAAAAGTAAATTGAATGTTTTGGGATGAGTTGAACACTACTGCCCCCTCCCACAAACAATCAAACAAAAACCCYGCAAAAATAATAATAAAACCAACCCACCATAGAATTTAAAGTAAGCTACACAATGCTAGAAAAAAACAATAAGGAAAGCATCAAGAAGTATTATATGCAATAAATTAGTTTTATGAGTATCTTCAAGTTTAAAAACTGAATAGATGGGCCATACTCACAGAGAAGGGTTTTGTAGGTAATACAGCATAAGACTCTAGTTAGCAAACAGAGACTCCAATAAAAGAGTMGGTCATATCTCAAAATACAGATGAATATTTATTTAAATGTTTTAAATCAAAATAAAATATTTCAGATATATGTGCATAATCTTTATTATTAAATGCTCTGACCTTACAATTGATTGTCCAACTATTGGTCCCAAATGCATATAAATTTATGACAATAGTAATATTTAGTAAGTAGAGCAGTATGGTAATGGTATGTGTAAGCAGAAAAAAAACTAAGTAAATAGTTTATTCATTAATTCATTAATATGAAGGTGAAATTCCATTTTGTCTATTCCATTCAAACATACATGTATTAAATCTTCTCTGTGCAAGGCAATGGGCTAATAAGCAGCACATATAATATTTTGGTTAGAACTCACTTTAGAATTCTTTTTACCATTATTATCACTAAGTCTCCACCAGCTACAAACACAAGTCTTAGGAAGGTTAATTAACATGTCCTAGGTCATAGTAATCA